TATTTATTTATTTATTTATTTATTTATTTATTTAATATCCTGCCTATCTGGTTGGTTAAGACCACTCTAGGCGGCTAACAAAAGCAGGAACACTAAATTGGTGGGGATTTGGTGAGTCGGTTCCACTGATTCAGTGGTCCTACTCTAGTTGTGACTTCCTACTGGATTTCTGCCTCCTAGAACTCTGAAGTTCAAAACGGTATAGTTACACCTCAAGTGAACATGGTTTAGGTGGAAACATCTGATGTTAAAAACATTGCTTTTAACTGCATAAAAAGGTTAAGATGAAAAAACAGTAAAAATATACAGTTTAAAGAATTTAATTTGTAATTTCTTACTAAAGTGTGAGAAAGAAGACCAAAAGAGACATTCAGTAGAAGTCAGTTAGAAAGAGAGGGAAAGTCTCAAGGTTAAAAAAAGCCTTCTATTCCCTTTTAAGAATTTTCAACATGTTATAGGCCAATTTATTTTGTAGCTTTCTTCTTGTTAATTTAACAATCCATACATAGGCCAGTTCCCATTTGGTACAGCTTCAAAACACATTGCAAGAGATCTCCATATCTATTTTGACATAACTGTTCAAGAGGACAACAAAGTAAATCAGCCAAAATGCATTTGACATTTTAAAACATAAATAAAACACTTTCCCCTCCTCCATCATCTTGAGACTTTGTGTCCTTCTGATTGGGATCACCTGTAAGAAAAGCTGTTTGTGTTTATTGTGGAGCAGAAATTTTGCTCAGTTTACTTGTTTTCCAGCTCTTAATGTCACACACCAAAATTTCCCACCATTTAATAGAAGCAGAGTTTTTTTTCTCACCATTCTATAGCTGTCACTGAGCCAACAAGATCTTGATTATGCAGAAAACCCTGAAATGCCAAGCTTTAAAGATAAAATAGCCATTGGGATCTATTTTACAACAGTGTATATAGAAACCCACTGATAGATTTGAAGGTCACTATGCAAATATTGACAGAACTCCTAAAGAGCTGAAGAAGAGATAGCTAGGTCTGGTAACCAAAGTCCTATATACTTGAAGGGATTTTCACCTTACCATTTAATATAAAATGGTTTTAGCCACACATATATAATTATGGTTGCTGAGAATATATTTTCCAGAAAGAAACAAAAGGAGGAGATTGTCTTTTTCTTTTGGCAGTCTTTTTGTTATGGCCACTATTGACCGAGTCTACAGTTCTACCTCTTAATTATTCCACCTTTTGAAAGCTTCTAGTCTCTACTTTTAATTTCTATCCATGTGAACAGTGTAAAGTGGCAGTTACGGAGTGAAAATATTTGTCTTCTAACCTCCTCTGGGTGGAAATAGCTTTTGATGGAACACATTGGATCCTAGCATATACATCCTGTTGGAAGACTCTGAGTACAACATCAATCTATTTTTTAATTTAAATAATCCAAAAATAAACCCAATTAAAAAAATTAAATCAAATCCACCCTGGATACATTTTAGTTTTACGATGCTACAAAGTTTTTTCATTATTTCCTGAAATATCTATGCTAGATGCTTTTGCATGGTGTGGGCTAGCTTTTAGGAATCCTCCTGCTTTTGAAACTTACCATCTTAGGTAAGTTTCTGTAACCTTAAAAAAAGGAAATACAGTACATGTTTTGACTATACTGAAACATTCTGCTTAACGTAGGTATTCTGATTGTGTGTGTCTTAGATCTTACTACTTAACTAATATACTTTTTCATTGATAATTGTTGAGGATAAGAGGTTGAAGAGAAGGGTTACAGTAGCCTTCTGAAATTCTATTACACTTGACACTGTTTCATCTTTCTACAGCATAGCAATCCTTCTAGCCCTTTTTATGTAAGGGAGCCCCCGGAAATAAGCTAATATAATTAACCTTGCTCCTCTAGGCACTTGGTGGATTCTGTTGAACCACTGAGACTTCTTTAAACATGCTGACAGTTCACCTGAGGCAGCCACTTAGCCAGTTTCCCTACTAGTACTCTTCCATAAAGTAGAACTTCTGTTAGTAAACCAAACAAGCATGTGCTATCTAATCGTAGGAATCCAAGTCATGCTCATTCTAAAAATGTTGAACTGAAATGAAGATAATAAACCTTTCTCTTTTTTATATTAGATCTGCTGCAGCAAATACTTGAAGCATATCAATTGTATATCTGAATCTGCAGTATCTGGATGATACTTTTTATAGGATAGATGGCATTCCTGATCAACTTGTGCTAGTGGCAAATGCCATTTTCATGAACAGCATTCTATATCAGCCTCATGGAATTAACCTAGAGAGAATTGTATGCTCTTCTGTTACTGGCTCTAAAACAAGGTATTTATTTCTTCTGAAGCTCCTGTAAGATATTCCATAAGATTATATGATTTCTTGTGCATTCATAAACTTGGGTCTAAAAGCACTATTTTATATTCCAAGATAGTCCTGTATAGGTGCTTCCCGTAGGTATTGTATGTGTGCACATATAGGATTTTGTTTCGTTTTGTTTTCTAGATTTCACCAAGTACTGCCTTGTTGCTTTTAGTAAATGCTGGTTGAGAAATATTTATCTGATTCCCTCTCTTTACCTTTCACTATGGCAGGTAAACAATTATGTTTTCATTGGCATTTTATCAACTCAATTATTTTGAAGTTAACTATATCTAAGCTATCTACCTTTTTTTTGGTATATTGTATTTTAATTGTTTTTTTCTGAAAGTTAATTGCCTTGAGTACTGTTTTGTTTAAAGGAAAGGTGCACTGTAGATTATACAGATAAATACAATAAAATCTTGCTTCTGTTTTAGCAGAGATGAACACAGAAGCAGAACAGCAGCTTCTCCATAATGCCAGAAATGGAAAAAGTGAAGAAGTCCGACAACTTTTAGAAACCATAAACAAAGGAGAGATTACCTGTAACATCAACTGCAAAGGTTGGTATAAGATTATTTCTCTAATAATGTTGGGGCATGTAGAAGTACTGATGTTAAGGCATCATCATAGGTTGTTTCTTATGGAGGCTGAATTGATAGTTATTCAAGGCAGGGCCATTTCCGTAGCAGCACCACAACTGTGAAACCCTTTCCTGAAGGAGGAGAGATTGTCTCCTTCGTCATTTTGTATTAATGGGGCAGAAAAGTCTGTTCTGTTGTGTTGAGCTTTTAATTTGGTGTAATTGTTGCTTGTCTAGCTTGCTGCTGCTCATGCTTTGTGATATGTCTTTCCTCATTATGGTGTTCTTTGTTTTATGTGGCAATTCAGCCACACTTTATTGTATGATGCCTGGGGCACCAGATAGAAGGCAGGTGCAATTTATATATGTAATAAACATAATAAATTAAATATTATTGGAAGTAGCCTACAGTTGTAGTCTTTTGGCAGTGCTTTAGTAAATTATGAAATATATCAGCAGAAGGCTCTAGGAGGTAGATATATCAGTGTATTGCAAGTGTTATCTATGATTCAAAGAAATGGCTTCGTGGTTCATGATCGGTTGCTTCATACAATTGCTGATGGTGATTGGGTTCGTTGAAGAGCTGGAGCGGTTCCTCTCTTTTGGCGGGAAATGACATCTGAGTCTCTTCTTGAACATTTAACTTTTTATTTATTTCAACATTAGGAGAATCAATAATGACCTCTGTAGGCTCAAACAAATCTGGTAACTGTCAATATCTGGGAAATAACAACTCTTGGTTAAAACTAACACGATTTACTGTGAGGCTGGCCGGTTGAAGAGCTGGAGCGGTTCCTCTCTTTTGGCGGGAAATGACATCTGAGTCTCTTCTTGAACATTTAACTTTTTATTTATTTCAACATTAGGAGAATCAGTAATGACCTCTGTAGGCTCAAACAAATCTGGTAACTGTCAATATCTGGGAAATAACAACTCTTGGTTAAAACTAACACGATTTACTGTGGGGCTGGCCAAAAGCAAAAGCGTGCTGCTTATATATCCCATAGTGCTTCAAGCGTTCCTGGTCTGTGAGTTTCCTCAAAGGAGCATTCCAGACCGTGCAAATTGTCCCACAGCAGGGGTGTCATGCCCAGTCCCCCTCCAGGCAAGGAGTGTTGAGTGTGGGTCTTGGACGGATCACCTTCTTCAAGGAACCTTGTCCCTGTGTGATAACCAGAACAGTCCATTCTAGTGAATCCAATGTCACGCTGTTGTCTTTAGTTCTCCCTGGATCTGGTAACAGTCCTCTCATTTTCAAATTAGGGAAATCCTCTAACAGTCTGCACGTTCTATCATAGTCCACATCTTTCCCCTTTCCTTTCCCCCTTTCAGCATATTTTCCCCATTCTAATCTCGTTGGAACCCTGAACACCTTTTTTCCTCCACACTCTTCTCCTTCCTCCTCCCAAACTGGTAAAACCAACTCCTCCCCCCTTTTCTCCCTCTCTCTCTTCCATCAGACAAATCTCCACGTTCTCCCTCCCCCTTGATCCCTCCTCTTTTTCCCTTTCTCTATTTAACTCTTTGCTTTCTCTTATCTCTGCTGACTCTACCTCCTGCTTTGTCTCGGTCGTCCTGAGTTGAGGGAACAGCTCACTCTGTTCTCTTCTCTCTTTTTCTACAACTCCTTCACACTGATTAAACAGAGTTTATTTGAACATGTTTTCTTTTCTTGTGTCAATGAAAGACCTAGTATAGTGTCCCCCCAATCTAGTACTGTACCTTTATATGTGTTGCTTGTAACTGCCAGAACCCCAGCCAGCATGCTTATTGATGGGGATTGAAGTCCAACAACTGGTAGATACCTGGTACATACTAAGGATGAGAAACCTTTGTTTGGTCTTTACTTAATCAGATAGTTTGTGGGTGCTTACATGTATCAATGCTTCTCTGTATGGCTACTGTCACAAAAAGGTCTACCTTTCCCCCCCTGCATATAAAAAATCAGCTAAACTAGGACTGTCCTTTCTTGACATGTAGTTTTTTATGTCCAGGTTTGTTTTTGTTTGTTTTGTTTTAAAGTAAAATGGATGCACAGTTCATCAGTATTAGGTACAAACCTGGCACATTGTTGTCACCACAACAAGAATTAGACTTTATGTAGAAGATACGGAAAAGAATGTTCTGCTGTACAACAAAATAGAGATTAGCTGCAGTATTTGGTGTGGATTTGTTTAGATAGATATCTCCAGTACATAATCTTATGTATCTCTGCTTAAAATGCATCCCTTTTGATTGTGTCCAGTTGTCTGATTTTGAGAATGGTACCTTAAAAATTATTTGTAGATTCCATTTGAATTCTCATATTCTGTACATTTTGACTCCTCAGCCATTCTTCTAGCATAAAAGTATGTGAAGACACTTACTGCCCAAAGCCAAAATTATTGAGACATATTGCCAAAGAAATGAGTTTAACCTGTAAAAGCACATGTGCTTTCAAACTTAAGCACAAAGACATTTAACATGCAGAAGTGATTTCCTATATAGCAGTGTCTCTGTTTTATAGATAGCAAAGTGTGAGGTACGGGATTCGTCCCTTAGGTTGTCATACTTTGGACACATCATATGAACGCAAGATTCTCTCGAAAAGGCAATAATGCTAAGAAAAGTTGAAGGCAGCAGGAAAAGAGGAAGATCAGATGTGGGAGAGATTGATTTCGCTAAGGGAGGAAACAGGCTTGAGTTTACAAGAGCTGAAAGGAGGGCTGTTGGGAACAGGATATTTTGGAGATTGCTCATTCATAGGGTCACTCTAAGTCATAGGTGGCATGTGACATCAAAACACACTCCATTTTTTTGACCTTTGGTCAGCATAGGAATGCCTTGATGTAATTATTAGAAAAACTAAAATACATAAAAATGCATATGAAATATGTTAAAAGTAACATTGATTGTTTATTTCCCCCATCCTCCAAGAAGCTAGGGTGGTACATAGTGTGTGTTTGTGTGTTTATGTCTCATGTCATGACAAAACTGTAAAATAATTTAAACTGAAAATAGTGACTAGATCAAAGTTACCCTGCAAAATTTGTGGCAGATTGGTGGTGGGAGGTCTGGACTTCCCTGGTCCTTATTTAGCATTGTAACCACTGTACCAGCCTTTCCTTTCCAGCAGAAGTTATAATACAGATGGATGAAACCTGAACTATACCGGCTAGCTAATAATAGGAATTCAGTTCCCATGGAGGTGTGATTCTTGATTGCAGTTGAGTAAACTCCTGAATGTATAAAAGAATTTTGCCATCTTTCATTTTGTATCTTTTAGGCACAAGCAAGTCAAATCTGGGCTGGACACCGCTCCACCTCGCATGCTATTTTGGGCACACCGGTGTTGTTGAAGATTTGCTAAAGGTATCACTTTTAGCTTATTTTCTATTTGATGAACATTCCTGTGGAATGTAGAGCACTTGTCTAGTTAAAGATCCTTCAGCATTAATCCTAGAGCTTTGAAATAAATGACATTAATTCTTATGTATGAAAAATAAAGAGTTAAGTTGAAGACTGTAAGTCCAGGAGCCCTTGCACTACCAACAGAAGTAGACTCCAGAGCACCTCACTCTTATTTTGAATTGTATGAAGCTATGTAATAGATAAAACCACATAATCCATGTAGTTCTGCTGCATGTGTAGCACTTTATAGCCCTTTGAAGAAAAACCAAACTGTATCCAGTTTGGACAAACTGGATTAAGGATAGTGATGGGATAGATTGGCACACTGCAACAGCTAGCTTCCAAGCCCGAATTACCTTTCATTTGGCCACTTAAGACCATAGCAAAAAAGAGGGGGAAGGGGGAGAAAAATTGATCAAATTGCTTTCAGTTTAAAAAAATGTTAATGCCAACTAAATGTAGAAGGAATCAAATATTGCTATAACTGTGCTGGCTTATTTCAGTGTTTAGAAATGTTTTACTTCTCTTAAAACTGCTTCTCACTGTTGTCATTAAAATAAAACTCATGTGGACAAAACCATCATTGAAAGCTGTTGACGGTCAGTATCTAGACCTTTAGTTGAATATTTTATTATCTTTGCAGGTCCTTCAGTTTGGGAAGCTCCTAACTGTTGAGAATACCAATAAACCTACTTTGCCTTAACAACGCTTTTAGGAGAATTTAAATAATAGGTTTCATACTGATTCATATTTTTGAAACTTATTTTCTTGCAAAACACTACTGAACCAATCTCTCTCTGTAGGCTGGTGCTGATGTAAATGTGTTAAATGACATGGGAGACACTCCATTGCATCGTGCAGCCTTCACAGGGCGCAAGGTAAAACAAGCATGTTCAGTCTAGCATTATAAAACTTAAGTTCTGAGGTACAGGATTCTTCCCTGTGCAGTTAACAGCTACTGTGCTTTCCTTACAGGAGGTTGTTAGGCTCCTTTTGGAATACGATGCAGACAGTTCCATTGTTAACGGGAATGGGCAAACTGCGAAAGATGTTACATATGATAAAGAAATTAGAGAGATGCTGGAAGGTGACCATTCTTTTCTATATGTATAATCTTTAGAGAACCGGAATTGAAATTCTAATAGAAATGCTCTACTGCTGCAATATCTGATATGACTTCCATATTAAGTATGAAAAATGGTGATCCTGGAGCATTTCTTACTATTTTGAAGCTGCTTGAAATTCTGCATGCATGGAACATATATATGGCCTGATTAGACACTGTTGCAAACTTTTTCTCTCAATGCCAGAAATATGTTGGCATCATGGATAAAACTGCTTGGGAAGTGCCAATCCACAGGGTAAACCTCTATATACCAGCAGTTTTCCATGTTGATTCAGCTTCCAGTGGCTTCCACGCTTCTAACAATTTAGATCAGAGGTGTGTAGGTTTATGTTTGGGAATTGCAATTCACAGAATTCCGAGCTAACATATCTGCACATGTTTAGTTTAGATTGAATGTCAAATGCTGGGTTTAATTTTCTTTGTGTTCACCCCCCTCCCCAAGTAGTGGATTTTCACTAAGTTGGGCAGTGTATAAATTGAAGGAAAGAAGGAAGGAATAGTTAAAGAAAAATCCATGCACACAGCATTATTTGATTTATAGTAAGAACACATAGAAATGCCAAACAGCAATTTATCTATAGCTACTCAAGTAATCCTCACTGTTTACTATCTTATGCTGGTTACAGAGTGCAGGTCCAATTTTTAACTACCCTATTTCCCTGAAAATAAGACTTAACCTGAAAATAAACCCTAGTATGATTTTTCAGGATGTTCATAATATAAACCCTACCCCAAAAATAAGCCCTAGTTAAGTGAAACCCTGCCCTCCACCATTGTGCAGCAATCAGAAGATGACATGACTGTATTTGAATAAATGTAGATTGCTGTACATGAAAAAAAAACATCCCCTGAAAATAAGCCCTACTGCATTTTTGGAGCAAAACTTAAGGTAAGACCCTGTCTTATTTTCAGGGAAACACAGTAATGATACAAGACTTGCAGGTTACAGTAAACATATAGTATTTTGTATGGCCATCCTCTCATTTGAATCAAGTGTCCACTGTTGCATGTTTATAGTTGTCAAGTGCATGCTGTGTTACTGCATGCTGTAATGTCATCCGCAAAGGAACCTCTGGATTATCTCATATAAAACATGCTTGTTGTTTTGTGTACTACTTTGTTCATGTCAGAAGAACCACAGTATAATTAACAATTATATCATGTGATTTTTGCTAAATGATGGCCAACACGAAGAGCATTTGGGGGCCTAACACTTAAGTTTTGTGTAGTGCAACTTGAGGGGCAAAAAATGCGCTGACATAGTGTGACGTTTCCTATTATTTTATTTATTTTATTTTATTTATTCTACTTATATCCCGCCTATCTGGTCATTACGACCACTCTAGGCGGCTTACAGACACATAAAATAGCAAGTAAATATAACAAAAGAAATTATTACATTAAATAACCAGTTCTTCAAGATGGAGAAGAAAAAAAGTAAACAAGAAAGAGAAGAGAAAGAATCAGATATTAACTGGAGGGAAGGCCTGCCTGAATATCCATGCTTTTAATTGTTTTTTAAAAATACCCAGCGAAGGGGCCGCACGAATCTCCGGAGGCAGATTGTTCCAGAGGTGAGGAGCTACCGCCGAAAAGGCCCGGTTTCTTGTTTTTTCCTTCCGGGCCTCCCTCAGCGTCATGCTCCTCAGCCTCAACTCCTGACTCGCTCGAGTGGTACAGGTAGATCTTGGTGGGAGTAGGCATTCCACCAGGTATAGAGGCTTGTTGGTTGCCACACTTGTGAAAAATGTGTTGGTGCAAAAAAAAAAACCAAAACATTTTCTTAGGTTTACTTTGGTTCTGCCAGCTCTGCTCTGTAGCCTATGAGTTGACTTCCAAGTAACCCAGGTCTCCATTTGACTAGAGGTTAGACTTTCCTGGAGTTCCATGTAGTTGAAGAGATGGGTAGTTCTTCCCTTCTACATGATAGTCCTGGCATTCTCTTCAGGATTCATAGATGTTGGGATGATTTTAATCTGGGAGAGGAGGGATGATAGCTGAAAAATAGATGCATATTTGATGTAGATGCTTTGAGTCCTTTCTTATTACCTGCTGCTTCTGTCTTCATCTCACTGGGTACAATGTCTGTTAGGTAACTGATTTTATCAAGAAGGATTAGTTTAGGTATCCAGTAATGATTCTAAAGCTTGCATTGAGTATTCCATATATTTATTTTGTATGGACTGACCTATACTGCACCAGGTTGGTGTGTTTGCCTGCAGAGTAGCATAGGGCCAAGGCTATAGTTCTTAGTGTTTGTTGTTGTGTGTCCTACTGGTTTCCAATTACTTTTGAAAAATATTGTTCCTTGTGGATACCTTTTGTTTTGTATTTTGCTACTGTTACTTAGATGTTAAGAATATTGTTCCTTGTGGAGACCTTTTGTTTTGTATTTTGCCACTGTTACTTAGATGTCAGGTTACAAACCAGATTAATACCTAGGCATTCAGTGGCAAAACAGTGGTCTAATTCATTGGTTCCTACCTTGGGTAATCCTAGTGTTCTTGGTCCCAGAAACCCTAGCCAGCAGAGCTGGTGGTGAAGACTTCTGGGAATTGCAGTCTAAGAACACCTCGTTTACACAAGTTTGAGAACTGCTGGGCTAGTTGAATCCCCTTCCAAGTAACCTGAAGTTTCTCAGATGTTAAATGAAAAGTTTAAAAAAAGTTTTTAAAATTATTATTAAAAAGGAGGATGTTTTTTACTGAAATTGCCCTTTTCACTCTAATGGTAAAAGAAAAAAATCTTCAAAAAGAGGGTTTTTTGGTGGGGTGAGGTGTAGTACATGTCTAGAGTAATGGGTTTCCCCCAAAACATGCCTCCATGCCCTCTAGAGAGCACAGTGGCTATTTAGCAATTTTTTCAAAGAAAATTGAACATTTTTTGAGGGATGCATGTTGCCCATCTCTCATATAGACCGTCAGTGTGACATACAGCAAATGGTATCAGGATTAGCCAATATTAGCAAAATTACCACTAGTTCAACCAAGAACAGTTGGTGACAACTGGACCAGAGAATACGGATGGGAAAACCTTGGCACTCCAAATATTTGGAGTTACTATTCCAACATCCTTTACCGTTTGTCATGCTCACAGAGGTTTCTGGGATCTAAAATCCAAAATAACTGGGATGATCAAACATCCCTGTCAAATAAATAAATAAATATATTTGAAGAAGCATCCCCATGAGTGTTGAAAAACAAGATACACTTGTACACAGTATTATTTACTGGAAACTTGTATATGTTGTCTTCAAAAACTTTTGATGCAACTAAAATTAAAAGAAATATGATAGAAGGTAAGAACATTTAACCAAAATGTAATAAAACACTAAAGGTGTAACCAAAAAGTTACATTTTAAAAAATAAAACTAATCAATATCTATCAACCAGTGCCCGCTGAAACTGCAAACAATTAAAGGCCTTTGTTTTAAACGTAAGGTCTTCATGGAGTGGCAGCAAATTTATGGCATTTGCTGCAGCTGTATATATTATAATGGCCACTGAGTTGGCGTTACTAGCATTAAAGGAGGTTGAGACAAATTCATAAACTCATATTTGAGTTAGGATAATACCTTATAACAGCTCAGGGCTGCTCTCTTGAAAATGCATGAATCCACTTACATTGCCTATCTGCTGTCATCGCAGATAGTGATTGTTAACTCCTAGTTCCCTGGCAGAAAGAGGCCTTAATATGCTCACACAAGGGTTTGTTTTTTGATATAATACTAGTTGCTCTCAGCAGAGTTAGAAGAACTGCTTGCTGGGAATTGAGGTATCACAGGTTAGGAAAATTGAAGAAAAGGAGAAAGTGTGGGTCTAGATTAGATGAACGGAGGTATTTTATGAAAAAGTATCAAATTGAAGCTTCTATAACATAAAATCTTCCAGTACCCTGTATTTTAGGCCATATACATTTAACAAGGGGTCATGTGGAATCTAAAAGACTAAAATGTTTTATTTTACATAGGCTTTCATAAATGAAATAAATATTTAGATGAAAATGGGCTGTGGCCCAGGAAAGCATATGCCGAATAAAACCTGGTTATCTTGAAGGTGCCACAAGACTCTCTGTTGTTTTTGCTGTAACAGACTAACAGAGTTCCCCCTGAAAATTTCTCATATACATTAGTTTCAGCTATTTACCTTATGTCCTAACAAGACTGTATTTGGGATAGTTGGGCATTGGAGAAAGTCTACCAAAACTGGTTCAGATTTTATACAGTGTGTTGAAACACATGGGCCAAAATCCTGTTGTAGAGCTGTAAAGAGTACAAAATGGGATAAGTGGCTCTCATCCTTTTATCCTCACAACAACTCTATGAAGTAAGTAAGGCTGAGAGACTATAATTGACTGAAAGGCAGCATGTTGAATTCCTTGGCTAAGGAGAGATGGCAGGAATTGCTCAGTTTTACATTGCTGTAGATTTTCAGTTCTCCTTAACTTCAAAATTAAGGAAAATTTAGTAGGCTTTGCAATTGATTTTCCCTATACAGTTATGACACACACACATATATATTAAAGTCAACAGTTCTAGCTACAGTATAGCAAATGCAGCCTGCATGTCCTATGGTAGTGTTGATACTTTGCATGTATACAGAGCACATAAATACAAGCCTATTTCTCTGTATGTTTTTGTCTTTCTGTGTTTACACACACAGGATCGACCACTGAAACAAGCTTTGTCCTAGATTATTCGGGGCAAGATTCAAACTTAGAGAAGATTAAATTTGTTACCTGCTGCAGGGTGGGAGGGAATACTGAAAACTTGGTGACTGTTTCATTGGAATTTAGTAGTAAAAATCTGTTCATTTAGGAGGATCCTATTTTAATTGATTATTTATACTTAGCTGTGGAAAGAACTCAAGAGAGGAAACTTGAAGAACTCCTCCTAGGGGCTGCACGAGAAGGAGACACTGGAAAACTCACAGCACTGGTATATATTGATATTACCTTCTATCTTACATTTTAAAGCCATAATGTTAATGCTGAATACTAGTTGCTTAAAGTAAAATAGATGGGAGACATGAATGAGGCAGCTTGCAATTCTCAGAATGACCAGAAGCTTGGGGCCAGGGTTCTCCTCTGCAGTCCTGATTGGCTTCCATGGTGTTTCAAGAAAGATGATTAAATACATATCTGAGCATAATGTAAAGTGTTTGTATACATCTCTCTAGTTAAACAGATCAAATCCTCCTGACATCAACTGTACTGACCAGATGGGAAATACACCGTTACATTGTGCAGCATATCGCGCCCACAAGCACTGTGCTTTGAAGCTCCTGAAAGGTGGAGCAGACGCTAATCTAAAGAACAAAAGTGGTAGGTGAGACAGGTTCCCTTAATGAGTTCAAATGTCCCTTTCATCCAAAAAGCAAAGCAAATGTGTGAACTGTAAACAAGTTTGTCTTTACAATCCACTTGTGCATTCAGAACGGTCTGCAAACTGGCTTTGCATTACAGAACTTTAATCTGGGTCCAAGTTGCTAGTAAATAGCTACCAGATGTCAATGATAATAAATACCCAGTAATCCTGTTGTAATGCTTATAAAGTCCATATGCCTAAGCAGTTCTGTCAAATATAATTGGATCGTACTGAAAGCAGCCTTGCGGCTTACTTTTAAAATAAACAGCAGGCAGAGGGCCTTTCATCTTCCCGACTGTGAAAAAAAGGGTCTGTATTAGTAGAATATTTTGAAAACAATCCAAGGCTATCTTCAGTGAAGTGTTGAACACTGCCTCAAACTCAGAGAACAGACTCTTTTTTTCTTGACAGCCTGGGAATATTTACAAAATGCATGTATTGTTGATGTCTTTATTACTGCTGGTAATGTCCCCATGCTGATTCTTAGTAAGATCTGATGAAGCAACTGTATTCTGCTGAACAGGTCAAACGCCAATGGCTTTAGCCCAGGGTGCAGAAATGAAGCAGATACTTGGAGGGGGCATTGGGAAGGTAGGTACAATAGTTTATGTTTTTAAACCGCCACTATTTTTGATAGATAGACTTGTATTTAATGTCTCAATTCTTTTGCAGGGGATCAACAAACCTCTGAAACGATGTGAAGGACTACTCTGGAAGGTGCCTAGCTTCCTGTCTCTTATGTTTTAATCTCATAGCTTTATTCTAAGCCTTGGAGATGAGAATGAACTAACAGATTACATTGACTGTGTAAACATTCAAGAAGAGGAAGATATAATCCACACCACCAGTCATCTGATCCTAGTTTACTACATGCAGCAGGGCCCTTGAGAAGAACCATAGCCCTTCTGATATTAGCACTGGTGGGGGACAGCTTGTCCCCCCCCTTTTCAATATATGGTTCTGTCAACTATTCAGGCTGTCCCTCTTCCACTGTTGCCCATCTGTTCATTATTATTCTTGGGATGTTACATGTAAGTGGAGCGCAACAAAATGCCTGATCTTTGCAGAGTTAGTGTTTGGCTAGTGCAATAGAAATGATTGTTGTTTCAGCAAAGCTGTTTCATGAGTTAAGGACTGTCTCTTCCTCATATCTTTCTATGGAACCAAAGCTGTTAATAGAACTGGTGTGTATTACCATGAGTTGTGTGACTATAAATCCAAATGAGAATGGAGCTAAGTGAAAGATTTTTTTTTGTCCAAAATCCAATTAGTTACACCTATCAGTTAATACAGTGTAACTTTTAGCAGCAAGTTGATGCAAGGTAAGAAGTCAGTGTAGATATTATTTGTTAGGCAACATGTAACTTGTAAATATTACACTTGTAGACGGTTCGTTGCCAAAAGTTACACTGTTTGCATTATGCTGGGGTAAAATGGAAATAGGATTTTGGTCAGTCTTCTGTAATTGGGCATGGCTGTTGTCCTCAGCTGACCTTTAAAGAAAACCCACAGGGCATGATGGAACAAGGCAGATCTGTTGTTGTAGCACCATGGATAATTCCAAATCAGTACATTGTGTCTAGTCTTCTAGATACCCTATGGATAGAGTAATGGTCTAGGAGGCCAATTCCTTCCTTGGCCTGGAAACATACTGGGGGAAGAGGGATGAGACTGGTAAAACCACTCCTTAAATATCTTACTTACCTTGACAGTCGTATTAGGATCACTATAATTTGGTTCTGACTTGACAACACATAATACACACATAAGCCTTCTATGTATACTGAGCCAAATCACCCTTTCCAGGCTCCAACTCTTCCTTGAGAAGTATAAGGCCTTAAAGTGTCAGGCCTGAAGCCTGGCATCTCCTCCTTTCTGACAATCCCTCCAGGATTGTTCTTGCCTGTGCTACTGTCTGGTACAGGTGCTTATTGTTTCATATGTGGGTGCAGAGTTAGAGGTTTTGGACTCTGAAAGCTCTAATGCAAAGTTTGCTGGCTTTTCCTATTAGAGAATATTTCTTTCTCAGTTAAGCCTAGATAGTGTCCTGTACATGGTATGGCTTAATAATCTTTGTCAGGCACAATACGTTCCTCTTTTTTACTTTAAAAACATAGTTATTAAGTTTTATTTAATCCTGTCCCTGTCCATGATAGTGGTGCAGATTCTGGAGCTCTGTCTTCTGATTTTAGTTTGACTACAGATGCAAACAAGCCTTGCTTCCTTTTACACGGTTACTCAAGTACAGTAGATGAAAGAACAGACAAACCATTTCTTAAGTGCCAGATTTGGAGAAAGTTAAACCCAGTAAGAATGCACTTGATAACCTAATATTACTTAGCAATTTGTTTGGCTGCTTGTCATAACTTGCCAGGTGTGGCAAATTCCAGTTGTTTCTGAAAGTATGTTTTTTCTTCCTCAAAGAGTTCAAGATTTTTTGGATGGAAGCCATATTGGGTCGTGTTGGAACATGGAGTCCTTTCCTGGTACCAGAAACAGTAAGGATGAAATTGAAAATCTGTTTAAAGACTTTTGAGTGCAGGAATATTGATTATTTTGATGACTAACTGCTTGTTTCCCCCCCACACACACACACACACGTACTTTTTTAAAGGGCTGATGTTGGAAATATTAACCGCCGCCAAGGATGCAAGCATCTAACACAAGCTGTTTGCACAGTAAGTGAACTTGGAAAGTAGCAGCTGCATAAGTGCACAAGATTTATTTGGCAGTACAATAGGAAACCCCCCCCCCCGTATCTACAGGATCGATATCTGTGATTTCACTTATCCACAGTATAAAAGTATTAAAAGAAAAAAATGCAGAAAAACTATTTTCATATGCATTATCTATCAGAACTGTCCTCTAGAGCCGGGGTCCCCAACTCCCAGTCCACGGCCTTGGCAGGTCCGGGCTCTAGAGGACCACCACCACCACCCCACACACACATCTCCCCACACACACATAGATGCCCTGGTCATGCACGCATGGATGCATGCACAGCCTCCCCATGCATGCACACTCAGATGCCCCGCTCATTAGTGAAGAATACATAGCATGATCTCTGGCACCCTCTAGTGACCAGTTCTGGCAAATGCATGTGAAAATAATTTTTCTGGATTTTTTCCTTTTACCATGCTCTCTCTCTCTCTCTCTCTCTCTTTCTCTCTCTCTCTCTCTCTCTCTCTCTGTGTGTGTGTACATAGAGAGAGTTCACTATTATCCACTGTTTTCATTATCCATATAGAGGGCTTGAAACCAATCCCCAATGGATATGGGGGCCCTACTGTATTTATAAATTACTTGCATTGTAACCTCTCTGGTTGGTCCATGACTACAGCCATTATACTAGAACAAACAGGATCCCAGACTAATCCGGAATGTAGATATAATGTAGAACATGACCTGTGAAATCACTTTCTAAGATGTAATTTGTATAGAGGACATATTTTCAGGATGTAGACCTGCTCTTTCTGCTTTCTCCTGAAGGTAAAAGGTGCAGATGGCTGTCTCTTCTCTGTCAGGTGTTTTGACAATACAGTTCACAGTTTTAAAGTGCCCAAGACCAGTCAGCAGCAATCAAGGGAGGTAAGTGTCTTTCTTTGTTGGACAGAATGGACTCAAGAACTAGTTCTTGTGGCTGAGTAATGGTAATCTCTTGGGGCTGAACTTTTGCAGTTTATGTTTTATGCTAAAGGAAAGTGGTTGAGATACCATAGGCTTGATAAATGTCACCATGTAGTTGTAGCTGTAGCTGTATCTTATTTATTATGAATCATAAGAAAATGAGGCAACACCTACATTTTATCTTTCAACACTGAAGAAACTTTTCCTATAAATATCACTGTTAGCTACTTCTTCTGTAGAACTGTGGAGCCTCTAGCTAGCTAGCAAGTCCATCTGGAGCAGACCCATTAAATAGTGGAATTGACATCAGTGTTGACTCAACATTCATAAGTTGATTTAGTAGATATACTGTAGTTCAGTGATGCCCAACCTTTTTTGAGTCAAAACTCCCTCTTATAATAACTAACCTGTGCCCCCTCCCATCATGTTTGCATAAAAAGGGATTTTTAATGGGGTAATGTCATCCTTCCTCAAAAAGTAGAGGTTTCTTTCTTCCTCTAAAGGGTGTGTTTCTCATGCATACACATGCATGCTAACTTTATTATCCCACTCTGAGAGGTCAAGGAAGAATTTGTTTAACGTGGGCTCTAAAGTGACTCTTCCCCCAAAAACCTTCTGCATCCCCCTTGGCAGTTATGACTCCCATGTTAGAAAACACTGCTCTGGCTGGTAGTAGCCATTGGATTTAATCCTAGAGAAGGCTCAGATTAAATACTTCTTGTGGTCACAGTGTTGCATGTAGGATTAAAGCATATTTTTAGCGGATGCCATGGGGAATAAGGAGAAATAAAACAAATGTTACGGCAAGTTTTAATTAACAAGCGTCTTAAAGATGTCATTGCCCGTGCTAAATCCCTTCTTGGTCTTAAGTAGGAAAAGAAATGTGATCATTACCATTCAGTTCTTATGAATGACCATAAAACAGACCATTCTTGAAGTACCTAATCTCATCATGCTGGTAAAACCACAGCAAAGTCTGTTTTCTTATCTCCTGGGTTTTTTCTTTCTTTCAGAACTGGGTACAAGCAATAGAAGACCATTCAGCGTACAGCACACATTACTGTACTCAAGAACAACTAAGTGATGAGGAGGAAGAGGCAGAGGATGTAATATCAGTTTCTGAGTTACAAGACTCACTAAAAGTAAGTAAAAACTTTCTGTATCTCATAGTGTGTAGTGCTCACTTGAGAGACAACAGTAACACACATTGAGGTACATACACTGAAGACCATACAGGCTGGCTGTTCTGGGATACACAGTGGGGGAATCAAACTCTCAACCTCTGGCTCCGCAGCCAGATACCAAATAGTACACACAGTAGTACAAATGGGAAAATATGTTTAGCACATCTTTGGAAATGGTCCCACATGTCATAAGGAATGCTTATTTGTCACTGCAGTGCACATTTTTTCTCACTTCTGTATTCCATGCATGGTGCTTCGTTTTGTGATTATTGTTGAACAGGGTTTAATGTAGTAACAAACCATAGTTTGGCTAAAGTATTATTAACATTGCGTCTCAACCGATACCCTGGATAATATATCTCCTCAGCATTAAATAAGGACACTTTAATGTAGTTATACCATGCCAGTGCTTTTGAAATGCACACTGGCTGCTTGCTGGTGGTTTTCTGTATGAAGCCCTTGAGTGTTGGATATCTGTTCTGAGATGCTTGACATGAAGGGTTACTAGCCGATGTATCTATTATTTGTTAAATTTCTTGTCCATCAAAACATCTTATGTAGGGAGACATTTTCAGTGGCAGTTCTCAAAGTTCGAAAATGCTTTCCTCTGGTACTTCATTAGAATCTGAGTTCTGGCTTGGACATCATGCTAAACTATGTTTTAGTGTTAGAAGAATGTTCCCTCAATGGGAACAAGTCTGATGGTTCCCATTGATCTTCTCAGTCTGAGGCACAACTGTAAAATTGACACTGAAAGCTTTCCTTTTAATGCTTATTTTACTGTTCCAAGAATTAAACTATTGGTAATTTTAATTCTGGTTTGCTGTTAAAAGACAACATTTAAAGCTAAAATCAATAAGTGTTGTTGTGGTTTAGTCGTTAAGTCGTGTCCGACTCTTCGTGACCCCATGGACCAGAGCACGCCAGGCCCTCCTATCTTCCACCGCCTCCTGGAGTTGTGTCAAATTCATGTTGGTTGCTTTGATGACACTGTCCAACCATCTCATCCTCTGTCGTTCCCTTCTCCTCTTGCCTTCACACTTTCCAAACATCAAGGTCTTTTCCAAGGTGTCCTCTCTTCTAATGAGATGGCCAAAGTATTGGAGCCTCAGCTTCAGGATCTTCCAGTGAGCACTCAGGGTTGATATCCTTCAGAATGGATCGGTTTGTTCTCCTTGCAGTCTAGGGGACTCTCAAGAGTCTCCTCCAGCACCACAATTCAAAAGCATAAGTTTTTTGGTGGTCAGCCTTCTTTATGGTCCAGCTCTCACTTCCATACATCACTACTGGAAAAAACATAGCTTTGACTATGCGGACCTTTGTCAGCAAGGTGATGTCTCTGCTTTTTAAGATTTTTTTTAATCTTAAAAAGCAATAAGTATACAAATACTAAAAAAGATCAAACAAATACCATCCTTAAAATGGGAAAAAAAGCAGCACCAAAAACATTCAGATCAGTAAGGCACAACAGCCCATTAAAAAGCCCCACTTAGGCAAGCAGGTCACAGAAGAGAAAGGTCTTTGCTTGCTTGTGGAAAGACAGCAAAGATGGGGCCAGCCTGACCTCCCATGAGAGGGAGTTCCAAAGTCTGGGAGCAGCAACAGAGAAGGCCCTCTCCTGTGTCCCCATCAGATGCACGTGCGAAGTTGGTGGGACTGAAAGACCTCTCCTGATTATCTTAACACCTGAGCAGGCTTACTTATTGAGTTAACTTGAGAGTTAAAAGAACTTTTGTGCTTTTGATCAGGGAGATGTAGAGCAACTTTAACTCAGTTCACACCTAGCAAAGAAGTATTACTTTATCCTGTTTTCAGTTTTGCAGCAGAAAAGAAACAAAGAGCCAATAAAGCAGTATTAGTGTGTTACTACTTCTAGCCAGGAGAGGGAGCACATATGTCTGTTTCATTTACTCCTGGTGGCTTGAATCAGGAGGATAAAGGCTTTGTTAAAAGTGTGTTCATTAGCTCATTCTATGTTGATTAGTTAGTTTTCTCAGTGCTGAATTATCACCAGCATTTGTTTCATGAATGGTTGCTGTCAAATAAAGAAATTGTCATTGTATTTTCTGTACTATTCACTATTTACTCCCCACCTTCATCCTCATGGATAGATATCTGTCATTTCAGGATAACAGTTCTTGCTTTCAGTTCATGAAAGCTTATGCTGTAATAAAGACTAAACCCAACTGTTTGTCTCAAGTAGAGAAGACCCCTTAAATCAATGGGGCTTACAAATGTACAGTATTGATTTAAATTTCATCTGTTCAATTGTTAGCTACTGTACTTGGTGAGACAACAATTGGATTTATTTCTGAACATGTTAGTCTTCAAGGTGCCACAAGAGTCTGTTGCTTTTACTTCATTAAAGTAAAATGGCTAGCCCTCTGAAATTAAAAAAAAAACCAAGGTTTTTATTGAGTATGATAATATAAGATATTGAACTGCTGGATAGGTCAGTAGTTTAGAGGTTGCAAATTCTTCAGTGTATTTCCCTTTGTGTCAACAGAATCCAAGATGATTATGTTGACACAAAGGTAAATAAGCTGTAAAACAAAATGTTTTGTTCTGATTCTATAAGATAACCTCTAAAGCAGTGGTCCTGAACCTTGGGCCTCCAGATGTTCTTGGACTTCAACTCCCAGAAATCGTGGCCAGCAGAGGTGGTGGTGAAGGCTTCTTGGAGTTGTAGTCCAAGAACATCTGGAGGCCTAAGGTTGGGAACCACTGCAAAGGTAAAGGAAGCATTTACTAAGGGGCAGGACCCAGATGTTTCAGTCTGCAATGACAATAAGTCCTACCCAGCATGGGCAGATTGGAGGTGTTAGTCTCAGGCGAGATTTATCTGGAGTGCCAGACGGTCTCCACTCTTATGTCTAATTCTAGGGGGGGAATTATCAACATGTTTTTCTTCACTTTTAGGAATTATTTTTATTCTAATATGTAGGGACAGGCACAAACCGCTGTTTCAACCATTCCTGCTAGTTCAGTTCCTTTGGATGAACAGGTGTTCAGCACTTCCCAGCCCTGCCTCCTGTGGTGGGCGCCCACTCCGAGGCAGCATTTGGAAGAGGCGGGGCAGGGTAGCCAAATACCTCTTTGTCCAAAGGCTGAACTGCCGAACCAGCTCTCTACTAATGTGCATTTGTGGTGCAAAAATAAATGACGTATTTGACAAAAACATCACTTACGACAGTTTCAATATTCCTAATAAGAATAAAATTAGATTTTTAATACCCGAGAAGTTTTGATCAGTCTTGCCAAATTTCTGTATGTTGGCTTAATAACTTAGCAAGATCATCTCTTGCTACTACCCTGTTTTCGCAAAAATAAGACCTAACCTGAAAATAAGCCCTAGTATGATTTTTCAGGATGCTTGTAGTATAAGCCCTACCCCAAAAATAAGCCCCAGTTAAGTGAAAACCTGCCCTCCACCATTGTGCAACAAGTAGAAGATGACATGACTGTATTTGAAAAAATGTAGATTGTTGTACATGAATAAAATAAAACATCCCCTGAAAATAAGCCCTAATGCATTTTGGAGCAAAAATTAATATAAGACCCTGTCTTATTTTCAGGGAAACACGGTAATGCAAGTTACCATTCATTTCAGCTTTATACCAGAAAGAGTACTTCATAGCTTTCATTATTATAAACCAGTTATGGGACCATTTTTGTGCACTAAAAGTGCAATAAAGCTTTAAGCCGGGGGGTAAATCGCAAGATGGATTTTTTCCTCATGTAATAGTCTTACAGAAGGAAGCAAGAATCAAGGGTAAGGTTCTGACACTACTGGTGAAGTAATGGCTTGTGGTTTTCCGTTTCCTATGAACCTGTTCAATCTTTCTGCCTTCAGTAAAGTCAAGACTTCTGACAGCTGCAGATTATCATGTCTTGTACTTGCTTAGCTCTGGCAATACAACAAGCCACTCGGCTGACTGGCACAAAGGATTAGATCACTGAAGCAGAAATCTTTTGGATGTGCATGGCTACATCTGCCTTATTAAAAGCAAACATGTGGATGGAGTGGTGCTGGAGGATGACCTGTGTCCCATCATTAGTAAATAAGAAAATAAGAAAAGTTATTTCATCAAGGCTAGGTTATATATAACATCCACTGTTCAAGAAGAGATGCTGGGCACTTATGTGTATAAATATCAGAGTATGTATGCACTGTACATCTGTGGAGAATTGAACTCCCAGATATCTAAACTATTGAACTATCTAGTCAGAAATGCAGGCTTAGGTATGTCTGTTCTGGGGTGCATCCAAGTTCTGTGTGAAGCAAAGAGATCCCCCAGGAAATTGTAATCTAATGTCTTTAATATCTGCTTCTCCAGTATAACTGGCATACTTGTTAAACAAATTTATATCTCCTTTGTCATATCTCTTTACTCATAACTGTCTGCTTTAATCTTTGCTTGTTTTCTTCCTTCTTTTGTCTCCTCTCCTAGTCCTTTTTACTAATCACGACCCACTTCATTTCCTGTTGTTGTTGTTGTATAGTATTCCCACCTAGCCCCACCCACTTCCTTTCCTGGTATTTTCACAGATTTTTTCAAGGCACATATTTAGCATTATAACTATAATATGTGTAGAACTTCTAATTTTGCCTCATTTCATTCCAGTAAATATGTACTGCTGCAGTTAATTTCTTGATCAACTTGACAGCTTATTGCTTCTTTTATGGCAACTACTAAATCATGTTCTCAGTACATCTTGCTTCATTGGTGCCTTAAAAACACATGGTCTGAAATTTGAGTATCATCTGTGTCACTTTCAAACTATTATACTTCTGGAAACCAGAGTACATACTTTTGGCTATAGAGGTCTTTATGAGATAAACTGATGTCATGTGTGATCATCCAAGAATGAAGACATTTCTAAGGAAACAAGTTAATGTTTATCAGAATAAAAAAATTGTTAGTAATCACTGAGATGCCCTCAGGATTTATTCCTTAGCTAATTAGCAGTGCAGCCTTTTTCTTTTCTTTTTTCGCATGCCAGTCACCAGGATTTTCTTGGTAATCGTGTTTACTAGTCGTTTCTTCTGGGAGTGCTCTAGGACTGTGTAGCTTGCTCAAGGCTACACAGACTGGTTGTTTTCCCAGAAGGCACAATGGAGAATTGAATTGCCAACTTCTTGTTCTGCAGCTGAATACCTAACTCACTGAACTAATAAGCCAGCATTTTATTGGCCTATTAAAAAGTCCCTTCACTATTTTGTATCTTTAAGGCAAATGAGGCGGAAAAGAGCAAAGAAAACCATGAGTATTGTTTTGGAAATAAATGGTGGCTGAAAATGTTCATTTTATTATTCCTATTCTTGAATATGTAGACTAGCCTCTCACAAATGAACATATATAGATTTCAGTTTTTATGTGTTGTTAGAGTATGTTTCACATATACAGTACTGTATTGGTTTGTAATAGGCATGTGTAAGTAACAAGAGGAACCTGCTTTCTTTTGGATGTCGTTATAAACCATAAGTAGGATTGAAATATGTGAGTCAGTAAAGATGTATAATCCAGTTTCTTGACTACTTTATTAAAATTCAAACAAATTGCCAAAAGTTTGAATCAGGATCATAGCAGTAGGGGAGAATGGACTGCCATTTTCCCAACTCAGGCTCTCTTTCCTAAAGATGTCAATTGCCCGATTAAGAAAAAAAAAACAACCTTATGGATGCCCCTATGGCTGCTTTAAGTACCACGCACCTTAAGTCAAGCAGACATAACCGCAAATCTCTCAATATCCCTCTTGTTTTGGTCCAGGTTTTTACTAGGATGCAGGTCACCTTAAGTGGATATGTGTGTTTGAGTCAAAACAGTGCATAATAAATAATGAATCCTAAAGATGTGAGGCTTCTGCTTAGCATACTAAATAGATCTGTTGCTTTCTTCCAGACCGCACAGTCATGTCAACAAAGACTAGATAAAGAGATTTCTACCTTCCTCACCATGATTAAATCATGTGATACAACTCAAGGTAACTTTAAAATAAATCAATAAAGTTAATTTTTTGTTGCTCCTTTAAAATGTTCTAATACAGTTGTCAAAAAACAAAACAAAAAATGGTTGTAACCATTTGCCTTGTACATATGGGAACAGTGCTTTTTTACTCTCCCAGATGTATCAACCTGATTTTTTCCCCAAAGGCAGCAAGTTCATTCCCAATATAATTGTTATTCTTCAGTGTTCTGATGGTTACAGGTAACATAGCAAGTACATTTTGATGAAATTCTGATACCTGTTTTTTCTCCCCTAAAATAAATGCTTCTGTCCACACGGCTCACAACCACAGACCAATATTGGAATGCGGTAGGACAGAAATGAGCCTGAATATTTTTATACTTTGTAAAGTTATAGCAGTTCTTTCCGGGAAATGAAATTGACAAGTGTCATACTACCCATATTACATAACCAAACATATGCCTTTAAATGTTAAATCTTACTAATCAAGACTGTAGTCTTCACACACCACCTTATAAGGTTCATTATGCAACTTACACAGTCCCGATTCAGCCAATATTTCTTTCGTGTTGTGTTTATGACTGTGGCAAAAGAAAGGCTGCGAATGGCAGAGCTAGAAGACTAGAGAATTGCTGATACAAAGGCAAAAAGTTGGGAGCACAGTTCCCAGCCATCAGTAAAAAAACAAAAACAAAAAAAGGAATGAAGACCAAGAAATCATAAAACATAAAATGCATAAAGCTAGCATACTTTGGTCATATAATGCAAAATGAAAATATAGATTGTTATAGCTGATCATTCAAAGCAAAAGAAATGTGAAAAGAAATTCAAGAAGGAAAAGAGTCTTAAAGACGGTTTTGGGTGCAATGCAACATCACTGTTTAGAGCTGTCATGCTTAAAAGGCAGGATAGCCAGGGTGAGATCCAGTCTTCAGTATGAGAAACCAGAAAAGAAGAATGTGATGAAGTCAAACCATTCTGATATTTTTGTTTCCGTCTCTCTAATAGCAGTCATGGTGTTTAGGAGGCTTGTCATAAATATTGCTTTTCTTTTCTTGCAATGGTGTCATGCAAATTTTGGTTTTCAGTAGACAACAAGCGTCACTTGGCAGAGACCAATGAAACTTAGACTTTTTACTTGAACAGTGACTGGTTAAATGTTTTCTAGCTAGGGATTGCCCTTTCTCAAGTTAAGGCTGAGAGACCTTTGGTAGATTGAGGCAGATGCCCAAGGTGGTGGGAGTTCCACCTTGCACTGATCTTCCTAGAGGACCACGTGGATGCCATCTGCTCATCCCTGTCCTTGACCTTTGCTCCCTACCACACCACCACCATCATTACCTGCATGATAGCCTCCATGTACAAAACAGATGGCACAGTTTTTCCACAAAGCCAGGTGGTTGTGATTGGTGCTTATCTGAGACAGTGAACTCAGGGTAGATGAGCAAGCAGTGGGGGTGGAGGAGACAAGGTGGTAGTGGAAGCAGGAGAAAAAGGCAGCAAGAAAGATGATAATACCTATCCTGTATGCTCTTGCTAGTTTAAACTGAAAGGTTTTGCTCTTGAGAAACAGTTTAACTATATACTGCCAGCTTGTGCAAATCAGTAATGCAAATATCACCTGCGTTTTTTTTAAAAGGAGTACCAACTTTATTTCTCAAGAAAGCTGAAGAAGTCTCTGAAACTTCAAGAGAAACTTGTGAAGCTCTCACCAATTGTCTCAAACTTTTCACAAAACAAGATGGGGTAGGTATCCCTGTACTTACTGGTAAAGTCAGACTTGCTTATATAATTGCAAGTCAGAACAGTGACTGCAAGAGCACAATTGGGATAAGTTGTTTCTGCCACATTCAGATCCTGAATGCTAGTTGCTTTGGGATATTTGTTTTTGTGTTGAAATACAGCCATAGAGCTTCAAATAATGTAACCTCACTTACGTCAGTAATTTAGGGGAATATCCAAAATGTTTAGATGAACAGGAATCCAGTTTTTACAGGAAGCTACCAATAATAGAATTCTAGAATACAGGTGAAAATAAATGGTGTGAGGCTGGAAACTTAGGTGTCATGGATATATAGTAGAATGTGAACAATATCTAGAGGGGTGTATGGCTTGATCTATTGCAGCAAAAGCTTGCAATTCTATTATAAGCTTCTGTAAGCTAGAGTACAGTTCCTAGAGTGCATGAAATGTTATATTCATTAGGCAGGTTTATGTATAATTGTAGTTTTTTTCCAAAGAAATTGTAGTGAAATCCAAAGAAACAGAGACTGTTAAAATGGAATTGAAATGCAAGCACAATGGCTTCAGCAACTCTAACTGGTTGTAACACAGTCACCCTAGACTTGCTCTACAGTATTGATTTAGTGGAATGGGAAGCCAGTTTCTTTTCAAGCCCAGTTAGAATCAATCTTTTTATTTTCTAGTTGAGCAGTTTTGCAGGTTCTGAATTGGAAGCCATCGCTACATCTTGTGCACTGTGTGAAGCCGTACTTCCTCTTGCATGTCTCAGCATTTGGCTTCATTGGACGGCTCTGGATTCTCATGTTATGAGAGAGAAAAGGGGCTTCTTCCTCCACATCATGCATGTTTTAATACACCAGTTTCCCTTTCTTCCATACATCAGTAACCCAAATAACCTTCTCATCAGAGGAAGCGTTGGAATCTGCTCATAAGGAGATGTTCCACTCCTTTGATTATTTTGATTGCTGCCTTCTGTAGCTTTTTTGACTATCCTAAATCCTTGTTGAAATTGAGTGACCAGAAACATGTACGATGTAACAAATTGGTGCCCACTATTAACTTATTTAAAAGGTGTTATAGAATGCTCAGCTTTGTTATATGGTAGACTTGCAAAGAGGTGGCAAGTTATTTCTATGGCAGTAGCTTTATTCTAAGATAACAATGCCTTGCTTTATTGTTCTTGAGGCAGGCAGTCTCTGTTCTGGTATGTTTTTCCTTTAGGAACTTATATTTGCAAATGAGGAAGCTTGTGCTGATAGTGACTCACAGCATCAGTTACATGGCAATGCACTCCACACACTAAACCCATTGTAGGCAGTGAAAATGTAGTTTTGTTCAGTGAAAGTATAAGCCTATATGTCATCCTTTTGTGCTATAGTTACAGAAATATGGGTATGAACATTGTCTGAAATTTAGAGATCACTAAATTATTAATTAACTATTATTTGAACAAAAATTTATATTAGATTTTTGTGGACTTTGTGCCAAGAGAACGAGGAGCATAAATAAAATGCCACAAACAAATCCTGGTTTGGAAGTTGTTTTAGCACCCCAAACAGCAGTAGTTCTCAATAAAGTGCATCTTGATGACCCAGTTATATTGAGAAGACGACATTGAATATTTGGTGTTATGTAATTAATTTGGGGCAGTAAAGATTAAAAAGTCAGGGTTAATCAGTTTTATTAAAATCCTATATTGTGGATAGTCTTTGTAAAGCCCTTCACAGTCTGAGCTCCCCCATCATGAACATAGTGTGCTTGCGAAGTTTGATGGTCTTCTTTGACCCTGCCTCAATTGCCATATATAGATAGCTGTGGCTAAAATTAGGCTTCATGATTAATAATATAAATTAAATAAATAAATAAAAATAGCTGTGGCTAAAATTACGCTTCATGATTAATACATGTATTCTTATATTCATATCTTGCCTTGCTTCTAAGGGACTCAAATGTGTTTAAGTGGACCTTGGCCTCAATTTTATTACCAAAAAACCAACCCTGTGAAGTAGGCAGGACAAGAGATGTTGACTGGCACAAGGTCACCCAGTGAACGTTATGGGCTAATGAAGATTTCAACCCATGCCTCCTGAGTCATAACCTCACCCTATAACTGCTGTACATCATTTTTTCCTTGTAGTTATGGAATTACCTTCCTTTTATGCAGAGGTGCATAAAACACATCTTGTTTTGAACAGTTTGAGCATTGTTGTGTTTGTTTTTTAACTTCGTCTTTCATTTATTTCAAGGTGTGTCTGCTACATGAAGCCTCAGAAAGGCAGCTAGTCTTTCCAATCAAGTGTTTTTCAGACTTTTATCTGCTCCCTTTTCTTGTAGTTGCCAAAGACGTGTGTGAGATGTGCATGTTTTCCTGCACTCATGAACTCATCCAAACATTTCTAGTGATAAAGTTGAGGATGTGCTAAGAAGCAGTTTTTATTTTCTGAATTGAAATTGTGCGGAAAGATAGCAGACAGCAGTCATTAGAAAAGATGTTTTGAACATAGGGTGAGCTAAGCACTGCTGAAGTATTGGCCTGCATTAAGTCAGGGCTGTGGTGGAAAAAAAGGACTAGGGTATTGAGTGGAAGGGGCTATCTTTTTGAACAATTGTTGAAGAAAAGGGAAGGGGCAGATAAGAGTGTGATGAAGCCGAGGGGATTAAAATGCCTGTATTCTCTGGTAGTGGAGGTGGAAACACTTTCTGGAGAAAGGAGAACCAATGGATGCTTTCTTCTTTAAAAAAATGAAGTTGTTGTGCTGTTGTTCTGTACAGAAGATGAACCGTCATTCTGTGTGGCATAATACCCAAGTCTGTGTTTGTTCCGTGCTAAGAGGAGTACTACATATGGTCAGGAGGCATGCTTCTCTGTTTGGAGAAGTATATGTATTACAGCTATAGAGTTAATTCTTACACACCTGATGTTGCTCAAATGTGAAATGTGAACGGTATTTTAAAAGTGGCATAAACTATGTGTGCTATGAGCTGCTCTTGAACATGTACTCTGTGGTGTATCTCCTTGGTCTAGTCATCTAGGGCCATTTTCTTGCATGATGTTCTTTTTGCACTTCCTGTCTCTGGCACATTTGATCCTTGATTTGTATTGGCACTTGCCATTGTCAGCTCAATAGCATTGTTTTAGCCCCATCTGCACATGGGCAAAAATCTTCTTGTTAAAATGGTGGAACCGATAAGTTTCTGTTGCCATGGTCCCAATTAGGAAAGTTCCCATGCTTATGCTATTTTATAATCCTAAGAAATGCATATACTAAAGTGGAACACAAAACATAGGTGCAATCAAGATCAAATATAAGAAAAGTATGGAATGCAAGTTATAACATGCTTAGGGATCATTTGTGCCTCGTCCAGCTTCTTCTGTCCTTATGCATTAATGGATATATTTAATATCATGTTGGCACCTGTTCCTTGTTTCTTTGCTTTCAATACAGAGCTTCAGAGGTCATTTTAAATGAAGAGATAATTTCTTGTAGCGCATACAGCTGTTAAACTCATTACAGAATGCATAGGCCACATGCCTCTTGTGGAAAGATTTATTAATGCTGAACTTAACTCATTGTTCACCGCTTTTTTTCAAGAAAAGAAATTGTAGTGAGCATTTCTTACCTCCCCCCTTAAAATAAATCAAAATTAAAAATTCTGGAGGAAGTGCAAGATGCTCAGTTAAACATTTTCTGAGAGTATTTTTCCTATGGGCAAATTACAGAGACAGTAGGTAAATTATGCATTCTTTTGTGTGGGAGCAAATATATTAGAATTTGTTTTTCAAAGCAAACCTGCTTAAAATTGCACTGCACAGGCTTCTTGCCACATTTTCAGTCCAGAGAAGAGCCTAATCCCATTTATTGGCATGGTCCCCATGTCATTTCTTATTGGTGTCCATGTGGGCAAGGCAAAATTTGAATCCTGGTTCCACATAAAGTATGCCAAACTTAGCATGGTTAGCATCTTTCCCAGAATAACCTGGGGGAATGTTTAGTGTCTAGTGTCTGATTTACTTGCATCCATGTGGGAATGACATTGAAATGTTGCCTTATTAGTACAGGAACTTGCAAGAAGTATATGTGTTGATACCCATTTCACACCTAATACACAGCTGGCTTATTTCAGAGGCAACTCACAGTCTGAACAGGGGGAACAATTTGGAATGAACAGTCCCCCCCCCCCCCCAAGGCAACCTGTGCCTTTCCTGTATAGTTAAATGAAAATGGAGGTCATGGCCTCCTTTCAGATCTGGCTGCTGTGCTTAACAGGTTGGGACCTGATTCAAGGGATCCATGCAATTTCAGGCCCAAAGAGGTAGGGATGAGACATTTCAACTTTGACTGGTTTTTCATAGAACTACTAAAAATCGGAGTGCGGCAGAAAGTGTTGACCTGAAGTTGGTAGCAAAGAATATCTTGCTACTTCCATTGTGGGCAGTGTTAAAAGACAGGGGTGCATCCTACCTCTCTGTTGTGATCATCTGACACCCCAGTCCTATGCACCTTGGGCTGCAGTCCTAGATAAACCACTGTGTCTTGTATTCCTCTATGGACACAGACCATTTTTTAGGCAGCAGTGATGTATCCATGTGACTTACACAACCTCTGGATCTCACTCTTTAGGACCCGGGAGGAGCCTATAAGCAGAACTTGAGTCAAGTGGAGGGCCGGTTCAGCGGAGTTTTCTCTCTCTAATGCGAGCGAAAGGGAGCAGTTTGAGAAGAGATGTCCCCTCCCCCGCTTGCGCGTAGCCTTTTCCCAGCGTTGAGGGAACTGGGGCCGCGTGGGGGGAGGGGACGGACTCTTGAGCGAGGAGCCGCGCCGCAGAGGCCAAACGCGCTCTCCGCTCGGCTGGGGCGAAAGGTGCCCTTTTAGCAACTTCAGGGACCCCCGTGCGTCTGTCTCTCTGCAAAGACGCTCCGGCTTGGTTGCTGCTTGTTTGGAATTTGGGTGTCCGTGAGTTTGGCTTCCTAACCCTACACGCCCTAAAGCGGGTTTGGGGCG